CCCCAAAACCCCAAAACCCCAAAACCCCAAAACCCCGCGATTCCATTATTCTGTGAAGATCAGATTGATAGAATTTTAATAAAGTTTAATAATTTATTAATATGACAACGCCAGTAGTAGGATAAGGCCAGTAAAAGCCAACAAGTCCAATTAAGTAATAAATCTCATATTTCTTACAAGAGTTTGTAGTCAAGCAAAATAAGCTTACTAACCAAATCCAAATACAAGAGAAAAAGCTGAGGGAGCTAAAGCTTATATTGAAAAGAAATATGCTAAACTGAAAGATGAGGAAAAGGAGAAAAAAGATGGTAAATCTTGATAATTAATAATCAATACACTATTATAGCATGGGATAAATTGATTAAGCAAATGGATAAAATGAATCTTTCTCCAAATGAGAAAGACCTTATTAAGCAGGAAATCTAACATAAGGAAGCAGAACTTCTAAGATTATCGTAATCAATCTTAATATCATATAACAGAATTATTATAGGAGAGCTAAAATTACTGTTAGAGATTTCGACCCTCTCAAAATCATTGGTAGAGGAGCTTTTGGTGAGGTTAGAGTTTGCCGCAATCGCAAAAATCAAGAAGTTGTTGCCATTAAAAAGATGAGGAAAACTGAGATGATTTTCAAAAATTAAGTAGCTCATGTTAGAGCTGAAAGAGATATTCTAGCTTTGGCGAAGAACCCTTGGATCGTAGAATTGAAATGTTCTTTTTAAGATGAGAAATTCTTATATCTTGTCATGGAGTTTCTTTAAGGAGGTGACCTAATGACTTTACTAATGGAAAAGGATATCTTGAGTGAAGAGGAGAGTAGATTTTATATTGCAGAGACGATATTAGCTGTCGAAACTGTGCATAGTCTAAACTATATCCATAGAGATTTAAAGCCTGACAATCTTCTCATTGGTAAAGATGGTCATGTTAAACTAAGTGATTTCGGTCTTTGCAAACATGTTGAGATCAAACCAAGATAAACAAACGTAACCGAGAAACTCAGAAATGATCTCAATGATGTTTCTGGAGACTATAAAAATCCCAACATGAACAAACAGCTATTAAAGACTAGAATGGATTATAAGAGGTCTAGGCAACTCGCATTCTCCACTGTTGGTACTCCAGATTATATCGCTCCTGAAGTATTTGGGCAATGTGGATACAACGAATCAGTAGATTGGTGGTCTGTTGGTGCAATACTCTTTGAGATGTTAGTTGGCTATCCTCCATTTTTCTCTGATGATCCTTCTGTTACCTGCTAAAAAATTCTCCATTGGAAAAAGACACTTAATATCCCTCCAGAAGCCAACTTAACACCAGCAGCCACAGATATTCTAAAGAGATTATTATGTGATGCTGAGCACAGACTTGGAGCTAACGGTGTAGAAGAGATTAAAAGCCATCCATTCTTTGAAGATTTAGATTGGGCAAACATGAGATCAATGAAATCTCCATACAATCCAGAATTGAGTTCTGATGATGATTGCAGAAGATTTGATAAATTTGATGAGGAGGAACCATTTTATCCACTACCTGATGATAAGAAAAATGGAAAGAAATAAAGAAAAGATATCAACTTCGTAGGTTACACTTATAAAAAAGATGTGGAAGAGCAAAAGGTTAATCTAGTAAGAGCCTTAAATGAGAGTCTGTAAACTGACATTGGAGGCTCTATAGTTGGAAGTGAGAATATTACTCCAATTAAATCAACTTAAGATACTTCATAGAATAATAGCAACTTCTATATGTCACAAATGGCTTAATCATAGCATACAGAAATGACTGTGTTAAGTAATTCAAATGTAAGCAAATCTAGTCAGCTTCAATAGCATAATTTGATGCCAAATATGAAAAGATAAATGTATGATGAAGATGACTAACCTTCAGAGGAGAGTAAAGGAAAGATTCATATGCAAATGGCAAATACTGGGTATGATGGATTTGGAGGTCCATAAATGAAAGGTTATTACTAACAATAACAGCAGCAAATGTCTTCATCACACTATGTCTAAAAAGGACCTGGAATTTAGAATCAATAATAGATACTGATGCAACAATAATAATAGTAGTAGTTGCAACAATAACAATAAAAATTAGCTATGACATAATAATAGAGATAACCTCCCCCTGATATATATGTCAAAAAAGGAATGGTCTAGCAAATGCCCCCGTCATCAAATCAAAACATGGTTAATCAAGGCTATGGTCAATAATTAACTAAAGAACAATAGTTGATCCTCATGTAATAACTGCAGAAGAAGAATTAGCTAACTCAATAGCAGCAATAATAGTAATTGCTAGCTCAATAATAGTAACAGCAGCAATAGTTTGCCTAACAAAAAATGATGATGAAAATGGGAGTGTCTGGAAACGGAATAGTAACTCAGCAATAGCAATAGCCGTAAATCTAAACTTAGCAAAAAAAATATATGGTTCCTCAGTAAAACAAAATGAATGATTAGTATGATGCTAGCTCATCATTAGATAAAAAAGGCCTTTAGCTCAGAGACTGAGACATAATGAAGAAAATGATTTCTAAAATATTCTCACCGATCTGCTAAGTATTATATGCATATTATTTAAAATAATATTTAGCCAAGAATTCATTTTATTAAGTCAGACGGGGTTTTGGGGTTTTGGGGAGATCGGAAGAGCGTCGTGTAGG